CGGCGGCGGCGCGGCCGGATGGGGTGGAAGTGGGAGCGCGAGCGCTTGAGTGTGCCGCGCGCTGTAGCGGGCGCCCGAAATACACCGCGCGGGATAGTGCTTCCGACCACGCGCCCAACTCGTTATAGCGCGCGCGCCATTTTTGCGCGCCCGCTGGAGCGACCCATTTGCAAAATGTTTTTTCAAAGATAAAAATCGCAAAAACAGTTTTCGTTAGAGATCAACCCCAACACCTCTTGTAGGTGAACAAACCGCGCTAGCCACCGCGACTGGATCGCCCAAGTGTTAGATTTACAACGCGAAACTTAATAAATAAACTAAACGCGGCGACAAAACGTTGAAACCAATTCGCGAATTTCCAAAAAAAACTTTTGTGAACATTTTTCGAAAAAACAATAGCAAAAGTGAAAAAAAGAACTCTTTTTTGAAATTTGTGCACAAATTTAAAAAAAACTATAATGTTTCTTCAATCAGTGAATAACTTTAGAAAAAGGAACATTTTTCAAAAACTTCGCAAACATTATTGAATTTTGAACAAAAAATAAACATGAGAACACTTTTTTGCATATGTGAACAAATTTTGAAACCAAAAATGTTTTTTTCAATTTCTGAACAAATTTGAATAACAGGAAGAATTCTTGAAATTCCTGAACATCTTTGAATTTGTGACAACAACTGGAACACTTTTTTAAACTTCCCAAAAAATTTGTATTTGCGAACAAAAATTAAACATGTGTCATTTTCTGAATTTGTGAACAAATTTTGAAACTGGGATTTTTTTGGAACAAAATATTTTTTGTTTTGTGAAATAACATAAAAAGGTGAACAATTTCTGAAACAAAGCGAACAATTTTTAAAGCATGAACATTTTTTGAATCTTTAGAACAAATTTTGAAATGAAGAACAAATTTGGAAGCACGAATATTTTTTGAATCTTGAGAACAATTTTGAAAAATCCCAAAATATTCGAAGCGCGAACATTTTTTGTGTGTGTGAACAAAAAATTGAAATCCGGTACATTTTTTGAATTTAAAAAGTTTTGAACTTTTTTGTGTAACGAGAACAATTTTTGAATTTTGAGAACAATTTTTCAAAATCTGAACATTTTCTGAAAACACGGACAAAATTTGGAATATTTTCAAACAAAATGAAAAAAAGGAGAAGAAAAAAACGAAAGAAAGAATAGAAACAGAATAAACGAAAAAAATAGAAAAGAAAAAACCAGAAAAAACTATAAACGAAAAGAAGAAATAAAATAAAAAAGAAAACCAGAAAACCCGGTTCAAGAACCTTCTGGAAGGCTGCCAAAACCGGCCAGGAACCATCCAGAAGGTTCCCAAAACCGGAAAGACATCCAACTGGGCTGGCCTAGTTACTATCGAACCTGTGCGAACCTGTGTGGTAGGTCGACAATTCGACTCCTTACCTCCAGCTCGGAGGCATTCCCGCTAGCCAGTCGGGCTAGCGAGTCCTACTGACATCCAATAAGCACAAACTAGTAAAGAATGAAAGACGGAGATCCGATTTTTTTCAGAGTTTTCGATCATTCTCTTGAAAAATATGAACAAAGTTATAAAAAATTGAGCAATATTTGAAAGCGTGAATAGAATTTTTAAATATTGAACAAATTTTGAACTCTTATCCAAACATGTGAACACATTTTGAAATTCGAACACAAATTTAGAAACATGAACAAATTCTAAAAACAGTGAAGAATAATTGGAAAATGCAAACATATTTTCAATATTCAGAACATTTTCTGAAATTTTGAACACAAAATGAAAACAGAAACCTTTTTTGTACTCTTGAACATTTTTTTAATGCAAACATTCTACAATTTCTAGAAGATTTTTTGACAACACAAACACTTTTTTTGAACTGTGAACAAATTTAGAAAAATGAATAAAATTTAAATTCGGGAACAAAATTATAAAACCTCGAACATTTTTCGAATCGGCGAACCTTTTTTGAATTGTGAACAAATTATGAAACATGAACAAATTTAAAAATCACGAACAAAATTATGAAATTGTGACATTTTTCGAATTCTGAACAAATTTGGAAACCGTATTTTTTTATAATTGTGAACAAATTTTAAAACATGAATAAATTTCAACTTCGTGAACAAAATTATAAAATTGTGAACATTTTTCGAATCTGCGAACTAATTTTGAAAACCGTGAACATTTTTGAATTGTGACCAAATTTTGGAACATGAACAAAACTATAAAATTGTGAACATTTTTCGTCAAACCGCAAACATTTTTTGAATTCTGAACAGATTTTGAAATATGATGAAACTTGAAAATTCATGAAACATTTTATAAAATTGCGAACAATTTTCATATTGTGAACAAATATTAAACCCGTAAACTTTTTTGAATTGTGAAC